GGTGTTGTCAAATATTCCAAGTGCCTTTGTAGGTAATTAGTCTTGATTGAAAAAAGGTGCAGACCTGAATCTATTTTTACTTGTAATTTTCCTGTGTCTCTTTCCTGTTTTACGGTTAGTTTTACTATTTGTTGAACCCTGGTTGCCTTTGAGGAAAAAAAGCCACTTAGATTGGTTTTCATCCTGACAATAGTTCTCTCTAGGGTTGGGTGACTTGCTGTATCATCTGTTTCAGAACTGTTTTTCTCTGCTACTAAGAATCCAGACATAACCTGTTAACTCAGTACTACTTCCTTTTGCAGTGAACTCCGTGATCAAGGACTTACAAGACCCAAGATTTTGATCCTAGTTCCTTTCCGTGATGCAGCGTTAAAGGTGGTGGAGGTTATCATGCACCTTATCTGTCCTGAGGAAGGGGTCAGTAAAATTTTATTTTGTTTTAATACTGCACAATATCAGCCTACTCACTCCTCTCACTGTCTATCAAAGAATAGATGGCGAGAATGGTAACCAATCAGATTTCAGCATTTGTGATAGCATTCAAGGAGAGTAATGTTGCAGTAAAAAGTAATAGACTACTCATGATAAATACATGTACGTCATTTATAATACACTACTATACTGCAAGGCTGGTTGGAATACAGCAATTTTTGTCCTAATTTTGTAGGGTCAAGTTATGAACAAGAAACGATTCTACGAGGAGTTTGGGGAGACAGAGGATTCAAGCAGTTCAAAGGAAAACAGGCCTGAAGATTTTAAACAAATGTTTGCTGGGAACATTGATGACTGCTTTAGGATTGGAATTTCAGTTATGAAAAAATGTGTGAAGTTGTATGCCAAGTTTTACTCATCAGATATTATTGTGGCTTCGCCTCTTGGACTGAGGACAATCATTGGAAGTGTAGGGTATTTCTAAAATATTACTCACGTAAATACATACATAACAACTCCTGTATTAGAAACAAACATCCTTGGTTGCTGTACAGTTTACTACATCTCTCAAATAAGATCAAGTTTAGTTAATTTTTCCACAAAGAGAGAAAATGAAGGAAATTTTATCTCCATTAGTTAAAAATATGTTTTTTTTTCAAGGATTTTAGGGATAGTTGTATTTTTGTGCTTGATTTTCAATTTTGGACTATTTTAGTCCACCAGAGCAATTCCCACTCAGTACCAAGAGACTGAGACAAACAAGTTTCAGTAACCTGTTGGATTTTGAAATCGAGCATATGATTTCATAAAAAATTGTACTCCACTCGGTTCAAATTATATAGTAAGTTTCACGATGTGCCACAACAAAAGTAAATTTGTTTATTTATGTATCATGCATATCTATTTACAGAGAGAAGTCCCATGAATATGATTTCCTCTCATCCATTGAAGTTATTATTGCTGATCAAACAGATGTCTTCCTCATGCAAAACTGGGAACATGTTCAGGTACGTATTTTATTATACCAGCCTCTATAATGATTACGTTAGTTGAATCAGACCATTTTTGATAGCACTGCATGTCTTTTGTCGTTTTACCTTGTATAATTATGGAGAGAACATTGGCTAGTTTTGCAGAAGTGATTACTGCATATTACCTATGGAATTTTATCGGTAGCCTCACTTTTGTTAAGTTAATCACATGTTGCACTTTTTTATCATTTGCAGCACATCTTTGAGCATCTTCATCAGCAACCAAAAGACTCGCATGATGTTGACTTTTCTCGCGTCAGAATGTGGTGTCTGAATGGATGGTAAGTGCGAGGGCGTGGCAAAGGATCTAGAGTGTGTGATGACCCCTTTTTCTGGTGTAAAAATCCTGGTATACTTGTACATTCTGACTCAACACCTCTGAAACATTTGGCGCTCAAAATAAGTCAAGCAAATGTCAATAAAAATGTCAGGCAAAATGTACAAAGTTTGTTTTTTGATCTTGTGAACTTGGAAGTTTGCAGAAAATTTTCCTTTAAACTTCCAGCCCCTTTGAGCAATTTTTAATTGTAAAGGACCTGGAGTTCTTTTAGCTCTTGATGTATAAATTGATGTATAAATATGTGGCTTTTTATGATCACCAAGGTCAGTTAGCACTAATCGCGTTGTTTTGCCTTTACTCTATAAAATGCCTTCTCCGGTTAAAATTTAGAGACAAATCAAGTAGTATTGTTCTACCTGTTTATAACATTGTACTAATTTTCTTTGTAGGTCGAAGTATTACAGACAGACCCTCATATTCAGCAGTTTCGTGTCACCTGAAATGAACTCTCTGTTTAACAGACAATGTTTCAATATCCTTTGTTTACAATAGAATATCTTTATGGATGACAAGCAGTAGTGATACACCCACATAGTTCTGTAAATAATAAAACAGAAATGTTTGTTATATTTCATTGTGAGTTAGATAATTGTCAAGACATTGTTTGTTGTCATGAACCTTTTTGCTGGCAATCTTTCTTTTTTTGTGTATGTGAGAGATTTATAATTTATATCATTGCATTCCCTCTTTTTTTTCGGGGGGGGGGGGTGTAGCTTTGATAAGTCACTAAAAGATATAAGAATTATATAGTAAAACACATTTATTTTTCTTAATAAAGAAGTCACATTTTGCTGGTAAGGTGAAAGTTTGTTCAACTGATGTACCAGGTTCTATTTGTCAAGTGGCCGTCCAGGTTCCCCAGGTAAGCCCTGAAGAGAGATCTGGGTACGAGATTACTCACAGATACAACGGTTCAGATTACGCATAGAAACAACGCTTCAGATTACGCATAGATACGAATCGTCAGATTATGCATAGATACAACGCTTCAGATTACGCACAGATACAACGCTTCAGATTATGCATAGATACGACGCGCCAGATCTCAGTTCAGCTGCCCGTCACTAGCGGAAACTATCAATTGCGGTTCGCTAACAGTTTCTGCTTTAGATATGAGCCTTTCTCGCTCTCCAGGTCGAATTGTTGGACTTTGCTCCTGCCACTGGAGTGAACTAAAGTCTGCTATACCAAAGTTACGCAGTTAGATATCTAGTAGACAAAATTGCCATGTCCGTTGGCAAATATCTCGCAAATTTTCAGATAATTTTTGGGAAAGGCTATGTTACTGTTTGGGTTCTCAAAACGCACTCAGTTTCATGATTTCAAATATACTCTTCGTTGGTGGAGATAAAAATTATTTGGTTTCTTGAGTATGCATGCTCTTTAGGGGAACTTGCGCACGAGGAAAACCTTGATACTTTTATATAAATTATGCTATTAACCTAAAAGTTTATGTAGGAGTTATTGAGTTTTAGTGATTTCTGTTTTTTAATCTAGACCTTCCATCGTTTTGACTGCTCAAATTTTTCAGAAGCCGCCGACAAGAGATTCCAAATCTTTACAGATAAGGTAAGACGAGTTCAACTGGCCACCTATTTGTTTCACCAGGAAGGACAATTCCTTCTTTCGTTGTGGCTGTTTGGTGTTTCTACACTAATCGCAGCAGTTCTGATAAGTTCCCCTCTCTAATAAGACTCCCATCGAGACCTTCATGTTTCCAACAAGCCTCCTTCCTTCCCCTCGTAGGTATTTAATAATAAGGGCCACGTGTCAGAAGATAAATGTTGATGCGCATTTTGGACTTCAATAAGTGTCTAGTAGTCCAGCACTCTCTAATTATCTCCAGCTTTGCTTTTCCTTTTTTTCACATAAACAGGCTTGTAGTTGATGAAACACAAGTTCAAGTCGAGTCCAAGCCCGTATCCATTTCTTTGTTCTCAATTTCAGGCTTTTCTTTCTGCGATTGCTTTAACTGTAGTTTACCTTTGATAATGAATTCGTCACACACTCATAGTGGTCATTCTTGCGTCAATTGATTCACGATTATATTAGGTAAATAAAAGGCCGTTGTACACAGCCTGCTATGCCAGTTCTCAGATAACTAATTCAACTTGTCAACCATCTTTTTCAGGTTTTACCCGATTTCAAAGGTTCCCTTATGGGCCACACAGCAATCTTTGTTCCATCGTACTTTGACTTTGTGCGTCTGAGAAATTACTTCAAACGTGAAGGCATAGACTGTGCGCAGATTTCAGAGTAAGTGCTGGCTTTGCTCTAACTTTTCCTTATCTTGATATACCTCTGAAAGACGAAGATAGCCCCCAGAGGGCCTTCCTATGCGTTTTTTCCATGAGTCATGTGGTCTGATCGTGCGGGTGACAGTAGTCGCGAGACGGACTGTGGACAGTAGTAATGACTAGCGTTTCGACAACCTGAGCCAAACTCATTATCGGAATCAAAGATGAAGGCGCGCAGTATGCAGTCGAAACGTTACTTTCCACATCGGAAGTGACTACATCGTGAGACAAACATATACTTCATTGAAAGTGTAAAAATCACGATGGCTTTCTGTAACCTGTGTGTTACCGTATTCAGGGAAGAGTTCTTTTCGAAGTCTGGTTCGTGGACAGTGATTGGTGGTGATGGTATTGGTTTTAAGGGTCAATTCTCGATTGGTCAGTTTCGATCAGGTGGTAAAGTGCGGTCATTCTTTTCAGTTCGCTGGTTGTGTTAATGTCGTGAATATGTCATTCATTTGTTTTCATTAGTTGTTGACATTTGTTGAGTTTAGTTTTGAAGCTGATAAGTTGAGAGGTGGGCGCGGGTTTTCTACACCAATCACAGAGCGAATCAAATCAGATTCAAAGGGGTTTCGTACCACTTAAGCTGCTTGATAAAAGAGTGCTTCAATGATCTTCAAAATAGTCAGTGTTGGCTTATTCCTACCAGATACTCACAACCGAAAGAGATAAAGAGAACCCGGACGCACTTTCAACAAGGAAAGAGACCGTTTCTTTTGTTTACGGAAAGATTCTACTTCTTCTACAGGTATACTAAAGTAAAATCCCGCTCGATTAAAATCTTCCTCTGTTCTTATTTTGTTGTTTTCTTTACAGAGCGTGAGAATGAAAGGAGAGATTGCTTTTCGATTGAGGGTAGAAAAGCCAAAACTTACCTAAAACATGGTTTTCTCATTTCCTCGTTCTCAGTTTCATCTCATTTTCTTTTCCACCCATTCGCTTCCTTTATTAAATTGTGAACAATAGTTAACCCATTAACCCCCAAGAGTGACTAGCATCTGTTTTCTCCTTACAATATCACCCTTGAATCAGTCTTGGAGGTCATGAAAATAAAGGAAACAGTCACCAACTTAAGAAGCTCTTGATTATTAAACAAATTCTCCTTGTCAGCACCTTGGGAAATGTATAGAGAACAGTGCGGAGAAAATACGTACTGATGTTAGGATGTAAAGGGTTAACACCGAAAACATTTTTTCCTAGGTATCGCATTCGAGGAGTCAGGAATATCATTTTCTACGAACTCCCGCACTACTCTACGTTCTACACGGAGATTCTAAATTTCATGGATACAAGGAGCAATCGGTTGAAGCCTCAGATGAATCCTGTTAATTGTACTGTGTTATACACAAAGTCTAATGCGCTGCGTCTGGCTAGAGTGGTGGGTTCGCGACGCTGTAGTCGCATGATCTCTTCTGAAAGCCAGGTTCATATGCTTGTTACTGGCGACGAGGATGAATGAATGGTTGCTTATGCGTGTTAGAGCGACAAACGAAAACACCCAAAGGGGCCAATAAGAGCGCAATTTAAGAACAAGAAAGCATCTTGTTACACCCAACTGTACACGCGACCCAGACTGTTCCCCACGTGATTCCAGATATAAGTGCAAGAGGGCTGCCTTAACGTACGGTGAATCGTGGTGAGGTAACACATTTGCAAATGCGAGCAGAAATGCTGTTTGGACTTGCGCAATGGCCAGAAGATTGCACTATCATGGAGGAAGCTAATGCGATCATATTTCAGCAGACTCGGAGAATGACATTATCAATATGCAACAAAATAGTTTAATTCGAAACTTTTCCAGTGTTAAAAAACTTTACGCAAGTGTCTTGTCGTCTATAACGAAATACGAAACTTCTTACGAATCTATTTGTGTTAACTAACAGAACTTTGTGTGACATTCCCTTCGAAACAAACAACTATCACCCATACGAACACTGGTACATCATCGAAGGTAACATTGCACAACTCGATCAAACGTTTAATCAGATAAACTAGTTTTACCATTCAAGTAATCGATTAATCATCAGTCAGCGAGTCAGTCAATCATTCGATCGGTAGGTCAATGACTCACTGACTCAGTCAGTCAGTCCATGCATCAATGAATCAATTATTCAGCAATCATTCAGTCACTTAAACGGAAAGAAATTTTTCCTGTCTTCATGAGTTTAGTAATCGACCGTTCACAAATCGTTTAAGAAACTTCTGGACTTGGGGCAAAAAAATCTTATCTTATGCAATAAAAGTAATGATGAAAAGGCAGTCATCTGGAATAATTTTTTTACTTGGAGGATGGTTGAAGTTTAGAAATGGGCAAAAAATAACGATGGTTAGTCTCGTTCTATTATCATTATTTCGATCTTCTGGTGCCAGTTG